CCCCCCCCCCCCCCCCCCCATCTGAGCCAACTCACCACCAGGCAGTGGTCGGTGGAGAGCTCCACCCCTCTCTTCACCTGAGTGTCCAAGACATGTGGCCACAGATCAGATGAGACGACGACAAAGTCAATCATCGAACTGCAACCTAGGGTGTCCTGGTGCCAAGAGCACATATGGACACCCTTATGCTTGAACATGGTGTTCATTATGGACAATCCATGATGAGCACAGAAGTCCAATAACAGAATACCACTTGAGTTCAGATCAGGGGAGCCGTTCCTCCCAAGCACTCTCTTCCAGGTCTCACTGTCATTGTCCACGTGAGCGTTGAAGTCCCTCAGCAGAACAAGGGAGTTCCCAGGAGGAGCACTCTCCCTTACCCCCTCCAAGGACTCGAATAAGGGTGGGTAATCTGAACTGCAGTTTGGTGCATAAACAACTGTCAGAACCCCCACACGTAGGCAGAGAAAGGCTAACCACTCGTTCACTGAAGTGAACCCCAACGTACAGGCACCAAGATGGGGGGGCAACAAGTATGCTCACTCCTGCATGGCACCTATCACCAGGGGCAACTCCCGAGTGGAAGATTATCCAACCCCTCTCAAGGAAACTGTTTTCAAAACCAGAGCCGTGCATCGAGGTGAGTCCGACTATTTCTAGCCGGAACCTCTCAACCTCACACAATAGTTCAGGCTCTTTCCCCACCAGAGATGTGACATTCCACATCCCGAGAGCCAGCTTCTGTAGCCAAGGATCAGACCACCAAGGTCCCCGCCCTCAGCCACCACCTATCCCACATTGCACCATTTTTTTCTGCATGTAAATCTGTTTTTGGATGATCGTTTCCTCTGGTGTCGGATGCTGTGCAGCTGGAAGGATTTTTACTGAAAACTTTTATACTTTTGGACATTTGTTATGATGCGTAACCATGACAACAAGATGGGTTTTTTTTACAACCAGGAGCAGCTGATCAACATCTCAAAAGCTCAAATAATACCTCAACTACAGCCCCAAATCTCAGATGAGTTTAAAAGAAGGTGGATCATCCATCATGGGAGAAGAAGGGGAGTTGGTGAACTGTAAATACCTTGGGGTTCACCTGGACAACGGAAAGCCGTCTACAAGAAGGGACAGAGCAGACTGTTCTTCTCGAGGAAGCTGAAGTCCTTCAGTGTTTGCAGCAAGATGCTGCATAGCTTCGATAAATCTGAGATGACAACACTGAGCACCATCTTCATCAGACTGTCCAACAACTTTCTTTTTCAGATCTGCTGTACTAGAGATCCTTCCTGCCCACAGCCATCAACATCAAGAACAACTCTTTAATGGAACCAGGATGATGAGCTACATTTAATTTTCCTCTTGGAGTAATAAAATATCTTTGAACTGCATGTGTATATGGAGAACCTTACAGAGACCAACTGCATAGCTTGTGTTATTCATATAGTTTAACTTGCCTAAAGAACAGACTGTGCTTGGTTCTGTTCGGGTCTCCGTTTTGGTACCAGGACTCAGTCCTGACTGTGTGTTCTCAGACACAGCTTGTGGTTCTGTTTATATTTGTGGGTCTTTGTTAAGAATGTAAGCACAACTTGCATCCAGAGATGATCCAGCTGTTTGTTTTCTGCCAGGCGCCGTCTGTCCGAGCAGCTGGCTCAGGCCCCCACCACCTTCAAACGGGACCCTGAGGACCCATCGGCCGTGGCCCTTAAGGAGCCCTGGGAGGAGAAGGTCCGGTAGGTGACTGTTCCCTGAGTACAGCCTGTCAGGTTGCTGCTGCTGAGCTTGAAAGCTAAACTCAGGGTGCTACTGTCTGTCTGCCTACAGGAGGATCAGGGAGGGTTCTCCGTACGGACACCTCCCTAACTGGAGACTTCTGTCCGTCATCGTGAAGTGTGGAGATGACCTGAGACAGGAGCTGCTGGCCTTCCAGGTGCTGCAGCAGCTCAAGGTAATGCTGTGATGTCATGCATCACATGACTTTTCTCGTCCTCCTTCTCCCCACTCTGTGATTTCTCATCCACTGACCCGTTTCCGTGTTCTGCACTCTTAACAAGGTTGAGTCAGGTTTTCAGAATGGGTTCTTCTTTGTTGAAATGTTTAGTCTTTTATCCAAAAGTTGCACACACAGATACCTGGTTGTCAGTTTGACATATTGTCCCTCACATTCCACCAGCAGGTCACAGGATTCAATGAGGTAGGGATGATGCAGACTTCTGCACCTCTGTGTCTCTTCCTGAATCTTCTCTGTGGTTCTCTGGGGTTCAGGGCTCTGATCATCTCCCTAATTGACATTGGAACAAAACATCAACAATAACATGGCTGTGTTATTATTGATCAAAAAACATTATCTAGGCTGAGAGATAAAGGTTTAACTGGTCAATAAAATCCTTTAAAGTTTAATTTACCTCCAACATGCAGCTCCACTGTAGAAAAAGCAGCAAATCTTTAACAACAAAGTCTGATTGTCCTGTGGCCCCCACCTCACTTTTCTGTCTGTCCTCACATCTGGGTCAGAACCTCCTGTGAGGAGAACATGAACATAAACAGTGAACATTACTGAACTGTTTAAGCAGCTGACTAGATGGATGAGCAGTTTTACAAGCTAAGCTTCATCGGTTACTGTCAATCTTTAGTTAGCTTCTGAGTTTAGCTTGTTACGTAGATAAAATAAATTTACACACTAATATTTTAAAGTTAGCGTTACATGGATCATAATTTATTTCACCGCCATGTACGTGTTAAGCTGCAGTTGCGTTAAGAAACATAAACTCACCAGCTGAAACACAAGAGCCGTCCTCGGAGTTCTTTGATGAAGAGTCCGGTCGTGGAGATAATGAATCAGGACGTTCAGGCTCTACTCACAGGTTGACTAATGCTGAGAGGGGGAGGAGGAGGAGGGAGGCTAATGAACTCCTCTCTCCTCGCAGAAAAACACGGAGCAACTTTCTGCACACGTGAACTCGTCTGTGGGCGTCACCAGCACCATAGACATACATTACAGTATACATAGATTCGGTACGGCAGCTCTATACAGCTCTGGGTGTAATCTGGGTGTAGTCTGTTTGTCATAAGTCTGGTGTTTTGCCTGCCTGCATGCTGAAACCACATGACACGTTACAGCCAATACCGAAACTTGACACCGAAACAAGAGTGACGTTTCAATACATACACCAACTGGTGCAGTTCGGTCGGTGCCATAAAAGAACCTCGGTTCGGTACTCAGCCCTACTGAAGAGATGAGACAGGAATATTATATTAACCTTTATTTAACCAGGCAAATCCCATTGAGATTACAAATCTCTTTTGCAAGGGAGGCCTGGGCCTGAAGGCAGCCTAACATGCATGCTTTTGGTCTGTGGGAGGAAACTGGAGTACCCGGAGAAAACCCGCACATGCATGAGAAGAACATGCAAACTCTGCACAGAAAGACCCCAGATCCAACCGGAGATTGAACCCAGGACTGTCTTGCTGTGAGGCAACAATGATAACCACTGAGCCAACATGTTGCCAGAGATATAAGGAGATGGGACGTAGAGCAAAGAGGGCGGTAGGGTAGCTAAGGCAAAGCAGAAGGCATATGATGAGTTGTATGGGAGGATGTGTAGCAGGTTAGGCTTGTTAAAGATAGGAATGGCAATGTTCCAACGAGTTAAGAGAGTGAGAAGATGGAAGGAGTACTTTGAGGAGCTAATGAATGAAGAGAATGAAAGAGAAAGAAGATTAGAGGTCATTGAAACTGTGGACAAGGAAGTGGGAAAGATTAGTGAGGGTGAAGTCCGGACAGCTCCGAAAAGAATTAAGAAGGGGAAGGCAGTAGGACCTGATGACATAGTGGAGGTTTGGAAATGTCTTGGAGAGATGGCAGTGAGGTTTTTGACTCAATTATTCAATGACATATTTGAGGGTGAGAACATGCCTTAGGGATGGAGAAGAAGTGTGCTGGTGGCCATTTTTAAGAACAAGGGTGATGTAGAGATTTGTAGCAACTACAGGGGAATTAAGCTGATGAGCCACACGATGAAGATCTGGGAGAGAGTTGTGGAAGCAAGACTTAGACGAGAGGTGACTATCTGTGAGCAGCAGTATGGTATCTTTGCTTTGAGGATGCTGATGGAGAAGTACAGAGAGGGTCAGAAAGAATTCCATTGTGTCTTTATGAATTTAGAAAAAGCATCTGACAGATTGCCAAGAGAAGAGGTATGGTATTGCATGAGGAAATCTGGAGTGGCAGAGAAGTATGTTAAACTGGTACAGGACATGTTTGAGGACAGCAGGACAGTAGGAATGTGCGATATAGCATAAAATTAATATCACAATATGTATTGTGAAGGGTGGCGATAATGATATACTTCTAAAAAAATTAGCATATTGTGATAAAGGTCATTTTTTTCCATAATGTAAAGATAAAAAGGAAACTTTCATATATTTCAGATTCATTGCACACCAACTGAAATATTTCAGGTCTTTAATTGTTTTAATACTGATGATTATGGCATACAGCTCATGAAAACCCAAAATGCCTGTCCCAAAAAATGAGCATATCATGAAAAGGTTCTCTAAACAAGCTATTAACCTAACCATCTGAATCAACGACGTAACTCTAAACACCTGCAAAAGATTCCTGAGGCTTTTAAAAACTCCCAGCCTTGTTCATTACTCAAAACCACAATCATGGGTAAGACTGCCGACCTGACTGCTGTCCAGAAGGCCATCATTGACACCCTCAAGCAAGAGGGTAAGACACAGAAAGAAATTGCTGAACGAATAGGCTGTTCCCAGAGTGCTGTATCAAGGCACCTCAGTGGGAAGTCTGTGGGAAGGGAAAAGTGTGGCAGAAAACGCTGCACAACGAGAAGAGGTGACCGGACCCTGAGGAGGATTGTGGAGAAGGGCCGAGTCCAGACCTTGGGGGACCTGCGGAAGCAGTGGACTGAGTCTGGAGTAGAAACATCCAGAGCCACCGTGCACAGGCGTGTGCAGGAAATGGGCTACAGGTGCCACATTCCCCAGGTCAAGCCACTTTTGAACCAGGAACAGCGGCAGAAGCGCCTGACCTGGGCTACAGAGAAGCAGCACTGGATTGTTGCTCAGTGGTCCAAAGTACTTTTTTCGGATGAAAGCAAATTTTGCATGTCATTCGGAAATCAAGGTGCCAGAGTCTGGAGGAAGACTGGGGAGAAGGAAATGCCAAAATGCCAGAAGTCCAGTGTGAAGCACCCACAGTCAGTGATGGTCTGGGGTGCCATGTCAGCTGCTGGTGTTGGTCCACTGTGTTTTATCAAGGGCAGGGTCAATGCAGCAGCTATCAGGAGATTTTGGAGCACTTCATGCTTCCATCTGCTGAAAAGCTTTATGGAGATGAAGATTTCATTTTTCAGCACGACCTGGCACCTGCTCCCAGTGCCAAAACCACTGGTAACTGGTTTACTGACCATGGTATTACTGTGCTCAATTGGCCTGCCAACTCTCCTGACCTGAACCCCATAGAGAACCTGTGGGATATTGTGAAGAGAAAGTTGAGAGACCAAGACCCAACACTCTGGATGAGCTTAAGGCCGCTATCGAAGCATCCTGGGCCTCCATAACACCTCAGCAGTGCCACAGGCTGATTGCCTCCATGCCACGCCGCATTGAAGCAGTCATTCATGCAAAAGGATTCCCGAC